CACGAGAGCTCAATACGTTCGAGTGGTACAGTCGAGTGATACATTCGAGTGGGGGCGTCCAAGGGGAAGGATATCGAGGACGCAGGATCCTGGAAAGGGTGATCAGGGCTCTGCAAAATGGGATCCCCCCCACTTGTGCTTGTGTTCTGCCCCTTTTTCTAAGCAACAGAGCCAATCAGAATGTGTCCTGTGTATCTGCTGACTTTCAGGAGGCTGTGACTGCTGGCCATGCGGTCACGCCCCTCGTGTAGCCCCTGATTTGCTGAGGCTATTTGATCGCGCGTTCATCATGACTCCCTCACACTCCGAGCATAGTTCACTCTCGTGTTTTACATTTGACTGGCGTTTGGTCATTCTCCATTTAGACGTGCCCCCTTGACCAAATGCCAGATTAGACAACATCCAACACAAACACAAAGTAAAATACCAACTAAGGGTATTAATAACGTTAAAAGTGGAGCGATTATGCGCATGGCTAATGATGAAAGGTTCCAACCGAAACTTGAAAATAGGTCTGCGAGCCAGCCATTGCTGATACCTGTCGCGGCATTAGCACCTTGGGCTGCCTCCGGACTGCCAGGTAGGAATAGCTAATGAGGCAGAACGTACCAAATTTGAAGGTATCTGTGGCTATTCAGCAGTTCTATTGTGACAGGGGCACTCAACTCATTTGGTTATGACAGCAACCCAAAAGTGGGTCACAAGAATATATGAAAGGGTCATGAACAAACTAAAAATAGGTTCTTTTTTAAAGGAGAAAAAGTGGGAAACCATGTCTTTTCCCTTGCAGGCTGCCAGAGTTCCTGCCTGCGAGGGGCTGCTTGGCGCCTCCCATGCCCCAGCACCCCCCCGCCACTCACTCCCTGACTCACACAATGTGGGGGCTGGGGGTGGGGGGCCACTGGGTCAGGAGTGAGGGGCACTGGGTTGGGACTGGCCACAGATGTTTACAAATGGGTCCTGGTACAAAGAAGTTTGAGAACCACTGCTCTAGTCCAAGCCCCTGCTCAAAGTAGGACCAGACCCAACTAAAACAACCCAGACAGGGCTTTGTCAATGGGGTCTTAAAAACCTCCAAGGTGTTTACTCTCTGGGTAGCCTTACTACCCTCCTCATGAGGAAATTTTTCCTAGTATTTAACCCAAACTTCCCTTGCTGCAACTTGAGACCTTTACTCCTCTTTCTGTCACCTGCCAGCACTGAGGACAGTCTAGCTCTAGCTCCATCCCCAGGGGGAAATTAAGGGGGAGCTAGTGGGGGCTGAGCTCCCCTATAAGAGTTGAAAGCACCCTGTAACCTGGGGTGGTGGGAGAGTCTCTGACTGGATTGCTCCTTCACTTAGGTGGACTTAATCAGTGAACAGGTTTATTATTTTTTTTGCAGACCTCTCCCCCACAAGAATCAAAGTGTAATTCCAACCCTGCCCATCCCCTTTGCAGCCCCGCTTCAGGTAGCTGAAGGCTGTTATCTAATCCCCACTCAGGCTTCTCTTTCTCTAGACCAGCGGTTCCCAAACTGTGGTAAGCGTACCACCAGTGTTACACAGACAACCTGTCGTATGTGTTAACAGATTTATTATAACTACTTTATATGACAAAAATTTGCTGGTGGTACTTAAGGTTGAACTGTCAACATTTCTGGTGGTACTTAAGGTTGTATCATCCTAAATTGGTGGTGCGCAATGTCAGAGTTTGGGAACCCCTGCTCTAGACTAAAACAGCCTAGTTCCCTCAGCCTCTCCTCACAGACCATTTTGGGGGCAAAAGAAAGGCAAAACTCTAGAGCTCTTGGTTCTGAGATGATACCTTTTATCTGACTACTGGCGATGCTTACGGGGTGCACCCAGGTGCATGTGCACCCCCTGAAATTGGCGGTGCTGGTGCACTCCCTGACAGGCCCGACGGGCGGGGGCGGCAGACAGCAGCAATGGTGCCCCCCCTGCGAGTGCCGGCCGGGGAGTGGGAGCGCTAGATGAAGTGCCGGGAGCTCATCACCATGTTTAAAAAGTCATCTCCCCACGGTGAGATTGGCCGCGGGGGGACGCACCCCCTCCCCCCACTTGCTGACTGGTTGCTGGGGGGGGCACATGCCCCCCAACTAAGGTGGCACCAGTTGCCCGCAGGCGCCACTAGCAGTGTTGGCAGGGCGTGCGCTGCCAATGTCAGGGGGTGCCCCTACGCGTCGCCAGACATCCCTGAAATCTCGGAGCCAAAACACTCTGCCTTTGCCTCAGAGCTCGGCCTGGCCCCTAGAGGCGGATCCCTTATCCCCTGCCCTGGCAGCTGGGGGGGTTCAGAGCCGGAGGGATTAGACGGTCTGTCGCCAGCACTGAAGCAGACCCAGCGGCTCCGGGCAGTGCCCCGTGCCCGGGCCTCGCCCTGCCAGCAGCAGCCCGGCGCGGGGCGGGATGGGATGGGCGGGTGAGGCGGTCCCTGTCGCCGTCCGCGCTCCTCCTCCTCCTCCTCCTCGCCGCCCGGGTCCGCTCCGCTCGGTGCAGCCGGCGGGAGCCCGCGTCAGCGCCCGTCCGTGCACGGTGAGTGCGAGGCGAAGTTTTCGGGGCTGCGAGCCGCCCCCTCTGCCCGAGCCCTCGGGGCAGGCTGTGCCCGGGCAGCCGAGGGAACCCCAGCGCGGGAGCAGCCTGGGCAGGGGCTTCCTGCAGGGAGAGAGGGGCTGTGGGCTTTGCCCCTTTGGGCAGCCAGTGTGCGGGCTGCTGGTCTGGGTGATTTGGCATCTCCTGGCGGGAGCAGGTTTTCTTCTCAGTGGTTGTATGGGGTTATGTTTGTAGGGGATGGTTTGGGCAGGAGGCTGGCTTAGCTGGCCTTTGCTCCCAGCCCTGCTTCCCTGTGTTATGGGCTGCCCTGCTTTACCTGGGGTGGGTTCAGGCTTAGCTCTTGTGTTGCATCCTAGTTTTAGAATGAGCTAATGGGCGGTGTGTGAGGGTTTGATGAGGACTGACCCTGCCTCAGGCAGGGCGGGGGCATTGGACTAGATCAGTGTTTCTTAACCCGTGGGGCGCGAGGATGTATGAAAGGGTCGCGGACAAACTTAAACAATGGATCCACTCTAAAAATGGATTCCCCTTTAAAGGGGAAAGCTGTGGGAAACCGGGGCTTTTCCCTTGCAGGCTGGCAGAGGTCCAGTCTGTGAGGGGCTGCTTGGGGTCCCTGCCTCCCCCACACACCCACCCCTTGCCCCACACCCTGGGGGAGTTGGGACCTGGGGGCAGCAGGTCAGGAGTGAGGGTCACTGGGTCGGGACTGGCCATCGATGTTTAACAAACGGGTCCTGGTACAAAAAAGGATGAGAACCACTGGGCTATATGACCTCTGGAGGGTCCGTCCAGCCTTGCTTCCCTATGACTCAATGTTCCTGAGATGTTTCCACCTAATCCTAGAAGTCTTGGAGGCAACATGGGCCAGTGCCCACCATGCCAAGCTAATAGCCCCTTCCCTTAATATAGGAGGGTCAGCAAGGGCACACTAGGGAAGGCATGGGACAGGGAGTGATGGGAAGGGGTTCAGAACAAGTGCAGCAAGTGGGGATGCTGAGCAGAATGCACTGGGCAATGCCCACTGGCCCTCAAGTGAGGCCAAAGAGGTAGTGGACGCTGTCTGGTGAAACTGCCTGGAGATGTGAGTAGATCAGGACAGGAGAAAAGACTTGTAGTGCCCAGGGGTCCGCCTGGCTGGAGCCTCAGATAGACTGTAAACTTGGCTAGAGCCTTGGGACTTGGCGGATCAGGGGTGCAAAAACCAAAAGGTGCAGGGAGTTGTGCAACCAGAACCTTGCCAGGAACTTCTGGAGGAGTTATTGAAGGGGCACAGGATGAAAAGGAGTGCTGCTCCCTCCTGCTTCAAACCAGCTCTGTGCTGAGGCTCTTTCCTTCACAGCTGCAAATGCCTTGCCCTCTGCTAGGATTGCTCTGTGGGCTAAATGTCACTTGGGTGAAATTAATTCTGTGCCTGTAAAGCATGCAGGTTCTTCCTCCGCAGCCCCCGTGCCTGCACCCAGTCAGGTTAAGATGTATCCCAAGTCTGCCTCAGGTTAACCAGTGGAGGCTGATGTCGGTGAGCTGGGCTGATGTGGGAGAGCTGAATCTGCTTCAGACAACAGCTGAGAAGGGTGAAAGGGCATGGGCTGTGTTTAGTGTAAATAGTTTCTCTTGGTTTCTTTCTCATTAAAATAACAGCAAATATTTATGTGTCCTGGAGGTGTGTTCTGCACACTGCAAAGTACTTGAAGGGTATATGTTGTGTGGTGTTGTTATCGGTGAAACAGCTCCTAAAGATGGTTGTAGTTGTGTGCTTTGCCTGTAGTAGTGTGCTGCTCCTGAGTCTGCAGCACATCATGGAGAACCAACAAGTTAATAGTATGTAAGTAGAATTATGAAAGTTGAGAGCAGGAAAGTGTCATGGTTTTGAGGACAGCACCTGTAAGATTCTTGGAGAGAGAGAGAGAATGGGTCCTTGGTGCTCATGTGAAGTGTGAAAATATATTTGGTTCATCTAATGGATCCCTTTTCTAAAAGGGACATTTTCCAGACAATTATAGGGGTACTGTTCACATCTGTCCTGGTCCAGCTCTTTGGTCCAATAGATTGTAGCAGTTGTTATCCTTTTGTTTGTTTTGTTTTGTTTTTCAGCAATTTCATTAGCACATATATAGTAGATACTTGTGACTTACACATTTCTTAGACATGTGGCATGAAAAAAGTTTAAGTTTGGGGAGAGTTTAAGTCAGTGGTTTAGAAGCTAACTGCGGGCTCCTAATTTGGGTCCGGTGTGGTTTTGTGTTCTCTATTGTTAGTGTGACCTTCAGCAAGTTACATGTTGTCTCTGTATTTTGGGCTTTATCCCATTTAATAGATGAGGTAAAAGTACTTTTTTTACCTTGTAGGGATGTAGTGAAATTTAGATGCATCTGAAGATTAAGAGGTACTCCCATGATAATACTTAAATGATTCCCTACCTTGAATGATAGCTTATGGAGGAAGAGCACTGTGCAGAAGTGCCCCAGTCATATTATATGCTAATCCTTGACCAAATTAAATTTCGGGGGCTAAAGTAATTTTTTTAGTGATTAAATAAATGAAAAGTGAATAAATAATAAAACTCTTGTTCTGCTTTTTTAATATAATGCAATACCATTAATTAATATTAATCTCTGACAGTAAGTTTGGTGGAAGACCCAAGCTGTTGTTTAGTTAAACTAACATGCAGTTTCTTAATGTAAAGAGCAGTTCTGAGAAATCAGTAAAAAGTCTCTGTTTCACTTTTACTGTGAATTAAAAAAAGATTTATTTATATTCTGGTCTAATGACCAGATAGAGAAACTTCAAATGATGATATAAATGGCAATAAAGTAATCACTATAGTAAGAGGCTTTTTCTGGCCAGCAGAATTGTTTCCCTGAAAGGCTAGGGGCAGACAGGCAAAAAGCCAGAGCCTGAATTGATTCAACCTTTGCAGGTTAGTTCACCCTGCCTATGCTAAACCGGTTTGTAACAGGACAAACGTTCTCTCTGGACTGAGGCAGTGCAGGCAATGTCTGCAGTTGCTCAGGCCAGGAGCTGGGGGTCGCTAGAGCGTGCCCTCAGCTGCCGGGAAGCCGTGCTGGGGGGTGTGGTCAGTCTGGGCTGAACTGGCCAGGGAGGGGTTTAATTCCTCTCTCTCTGTCCCACCCACAGGGACCCAAGCTGGGTGTGCCAGGTGCTCGGGCTCCCCCAAGTTATGACAAGGGCTGCTGCCCCCAACAAGGGCCCTGCCCACTCCTGCTACAGTGGTGGGACAGGGACACAGCCAGGCAGGGCCCCTGGGGTGGGGCAGGGAGCATGGTGGTGATGGTGAGCAGACCAGGCTGCCAGTGTGGGGTAGATGGAAGGCTAACTCTCCTCCCTGCCCCACTCTGCCTCAGGGGCTGGGGTGCCCGGCAGACCCAGCTCTGGTCCCTGCCAGTGGGACAGAGAGGGGGGGAATTAAACCCCTCCCTGGCCAGACCCCCACCCCTGCCTGTCCCTGTTTCGGCTGGGGAGCAGAGGCATGGGGCCAGCCTGGCTGGGCTGGAGCAGATTGCCCAGCCCAGAGAGCATGCCGGGATGCTGGGGGTCTCTAGTTTAACTTAAACCAGCAAGGGGTCTGGGACAGACATTGCATAAACCGGTTTGAGCCAAATCAGTTAAGTCTGACAGAACATACTATGTTCAACCAACTCAAACCGGTTTCAGCCGTTTTCAAACTGGTATCTGTGCACTGAATGTCTGTTCTGTTACAGGTTTAAACCAGTTTCTGATCAGTTAAACCAGTTTATTTGTAATGTCTATCCCTAGCCTAAGTGTTTAGAAACACACAGCAGGTGCTTTTTGTTAAGAAAAAGAAGGCATGCAATGTGTACTGACTCTCTCCAAATTGCAAATGGTGTATCTAGTGCCTACACACCACCCTGGTATCCATTTAATTCATGGGGACATAGACTGATATAGACTATACAGTTAGTTCATTAAGATCACCAAAACCTCTTTGCTTCTAGCATGCTTCCTGTTCCATCAGGGTTATAATACCCCTACTGCATGCAGGGCTTAGCCATGCCCTTCTTGGTAAGTCTCAGAAAGGTCTAACTCTGTTCTTTGTATTTTATTTTCAGTTTGTAGGGTCTGCTAAGTGCTCCAGTAGTCTAAATGGAGAGTAGTACTTTTTTTCATTTTAGTACAGAGATCATGAATATGAAGTTAGTGTGTGTGTGTGTGTGTGTGTGTGTGTGTGTTTATGTATGTATGTGCTGTATGTTGATTTGTTGATCATGTCTTTAACGCATTGAGACAAAATTGTGATTGTGAATTTGTTGTGTTTGTTTGTTTGTTTTACATCTGTTTATTTCCGATTCCTTGGGGAGCAAGCTGATCCATTTTTTAAAATTTGAATTGCTAATATGCCTTTTGAAATATTGAAGTAATTTTCTGGAATGTCTGTCTATATTCTGTTGTTTATGAAATTGTGCATTGTAACTGATAAAAGCTGCTCCCATAAAAAGTCTTCAGAAAGATGCAAGTAATTTCTGAAAGCCAATCTTTTAGCATGCTATAAAAATGAAATTTAGCTTTATGTGTTTTATTTTGTGTATAGTACACTGGAATACATGCCAATCCAGTTTAGTTTGGCTTAATCGTGTCACAGCAATTACAGGTTCATGCATGACAATCTGACTACTTCCTTTTGGCAAGCTATAAAAATAAAAATGAACTTAAGGAACCCTGATAAACTCAGAAAAATATTGATATCTTGTAGAATACTGAGATGGAAATAACCTGTAGGTCCTTTAACTAATCTTCTTAGTGTGAATTTTTTCCTTATTGGCCATTTATTTGTAAAGCAAGTAGAACCTTCAGTTCCAATAGTAATTGCTGTGAATAAGACTTGTTCTTTGGCTAATGAATTGTTCCCAAAAAATCTGGTTTCTGTGAATGTTTGTATCCAGGGGTGGGGTGGGATGGGGTCAGGTATGGAGGCTGGCTAATCTCCTCCCAGTAGGTCACTGAGG